AAACCGGGGGCTGGTTGTCCTAGAATCAACTCACTCACGTTCGAGGCAGGGCCTTCTTTTCGCGACGCTGTGAAAGTTGAGCTCTGCGTCTATCTCATAACACACGCCGTTTGGAAAGATGACTAGAAATCTTGTCGCTGCGTAGAACTGGTTCGACCACATGTGACCACACGTCTGCGATGAAACAACAAAATGGGTTCATCACCACACTTCCTCCATCCCCAACCCCGAACCCCTCACTCCCGAGAAAGAGGAGGGAAAACACTAGCAAGAGCAAAGCAAGAGAATGTTTGGACCTGGAGGAGTATGGTCGTTTTCCCACCTCTGTGAATCTGCCTATGGAATGGATTATGCTTTTTGTTTTTATTGCAGATATTTCTACATCTACCTTCAAATACATACAAATAACTAAAATACATAAATACGTGAATAATGAAATGAATAAAGTCGTGAAGGAAGGAGGAGCGAAATTTTTTTGCCATGAACGAATTTATATCAATGAATATATTACGAAAGAAATCAATCGAAAATGCAAAGAAATGTATTGATGAATAAAGAATGGAATGTAGTAACCAATACGAGGGTAGATGTAATCATGAACTAAATTAAAGCCCACCGCACACTATACGATCTTCCAATTTTTGAAGAATTTGCATCAGTAATTGTTACGAACATTCAGCTATCTAAAATCGAGAATTTGAATAGTCATATGATTAATACCATTTTATTTTTAATGGATTTAAACTTCCTTGGAGGAGGAAAAGCTAAATAGGCTCAGAATAGTCGAGACTTACGTCATACCAGTAGTGCAATTTGTCTAAGATCTGAAGCCGACTCGTCTTTTATTCTTGGTAGATTTCTGATGTTAATAACCTGATGACTATTTAGAACCTAAATCCTAAATTAGAACCTTAGATTTCCATCTCTAATATAATTGCCATTTCTTCGAAAATCGGATCGCAAGAAGGCGGTGTGCGGTTGACTTAATGCGTGATTTGCGCCTGTCGAGTTGCATGAGTCAAAATGGAATAATTCGTGGGAATAAACGGATATGAGAACTGAATAACTATGTGCATAAGCTATATAATGGAATGCACTAATTTATTACACAATGGAAACATTCTAATAATTGAAGATTAAGACATTCTAATATACTCATAAGATAATTGGCATTTGTGCTCAAACATATACCCCCCCCCCCCTCCAGATGAAGGGACAGTATCAAGGCGAGATACAATAAAGGGTGCGAACAGGAAAATACCTGTAGATACAACACGCGCACAAACAAAAACTTGATTTAAAGCGATACTAAACTGATGAACTTGTTTGCCATAGTGTAATATTATTGCACGGCCCCATCTCATGGCCAACTTGCCAAAATTGCGCACTTTGCAGACAGAGGTCTCGACGCGAGTTACGTGACCATACTGCTACAGCTGTCCTGAGATGGCGTTAGAGGAGGTTTTGTGGCTGTGCTTCTAGTATAGCATGGTTTAAAAAATCTACAAATAGGAGCATACATGGGATCGTTTTCTTAGGTCACAAACATATTTTTAACTTAATAAGTAGGGAGAAAAAATACATTCACAGATACGTCCATCCCCCCATCCAATCCCTATAAATGTGTACATGGATTTTGATAATAGAGTGTTATATTTATTTAATTTATCTGATGATTTATTTGGTCAATATTGAGAACATTGCTTTAACTTAAAGAGCACTTGGGGCAATACGGCTTTTAAATATTTGTGTGTTTCATTTATAATCATTCACTCCTCTATTAGAGCTTGACAAATCTGAAGAGTATATCGAATGTTTATCTCGTTTCTTTATACTCGTGAAATGTAGACCCTATTAATTTTGATACCGATGAATCAGAAGAGCAAACATAGGCCTACACAAAATTGACGTGTCACGTCGTTTTCATTTATCCCAGCTACAACTGCATTTAGAGCTTTTTTTTCCTTAACCATCCCATAACAATTTTATTAATAAAAATGTGTTTTTTTACAAAACTGAAATAAATTTAAAACAATTCATCTTCAAACCATAACGTTAAGACCACGCACATCACCCACGACATGAAGACAAGAGGGCGTGCTATGGTAACAACTTAACAAAATTCCCCTCACTATTTTAGCTTCTATACTTCCAGCGGCAGTGGTCTTCAAACCATATTACTTACAATTAATAACGGGGTTTAAAACCAGGTCATCTTCAATATGAAGATATGAGGGGTTGCTATGGTAACAACTCATCCCTTTTTCCCCTCCACCATTTTAGCTTTTACTACCAACAGCAGTGGTCTACCAATCTAGGATGACTTGACAAACACCACATATCAGGCCACAATATAGATATGACAGCAAGGAGATTTACAGGGATTAAAAACCCAGGAAAACCAATATCGACAGCTAAATATCATTACGAATGAATACATGCAATGATTTGGGAATCGGGATAAACAAAAAGTACATCATCTCGACAGCATTGGGAAATACCACCACTGTGAACAGATACAAAACTACACTGCAAATTTATAGTTTTTGGAACACGTTCAAAATGAATATACCCTCACTACAAACACAAACATAGCAAAGAGATAGAACTGCGACACAATGTTTAAGAACACCGTATTTGCATAGATGCAGGGGGAAATAAGCAAAGAGGTATAACTTTTGGCATAACCAAGACAACGTTCTTGACGTACATAGGTCATGCAAAGCATGTAAATTATCACAATCACTACAAAGCAACCCCGCAACCGATTTATCCACAGCAACTTGAGCAAGATTAGTTTAGAATCACACAATGGGATACAAAGTGTAAATACAATTTAAATCAACAGACAGAAGTAGGAATACGGATTTCAGGACATTTTCAACTATAAACGTGATAAACAAAAAGGATGTACAAAAAATACATGTTTAGTGTCGAAGGAGCCGCTATCTAAGCAAGATATGAAAACACCAACTTCATGAAGCCACGATATGTCATTGGGTAAACTAAAAGAATGGCAGTACATGCCTATCTAAATGTTTTGATGGCAAAGTGATGCCTGTCGAAAAATCAACTCAAGGGTCAATTCAACACCCTATTGTATTGATTCTAGAATCATATCCGGGTTATGTCACTACCTTCGTTTATTGCAATGTCCTGATGGTCAAGACTATTGAAAGTGCCTAGGTTGATTTTTAGAAAGTCTTTGAGACGTTGTTCGCCTTGACAAGGAGGAAAACACGACAAACATGTCAACACAAAAAGGACAAGATGGGACCACGCGTGCTTATATTCACGTACCATATATCTAACTAACAGACAAAGAGGAATCAGGGAGAAGAAAGGGGGCATGGTGACATTATAGAGATGCAATAACACAAGGGCACTTTGTAGGACCGTCGGAAGTTATTCACATCAAACACAAAATGTACAGTAGTGGGTTTAGGGGGCACAAGGGGTAATCAGAAACTTTGGGGGGGGGGGGCTACTACTATACATTCCCCCTCCCCTGATTGAGAGAGAACAAAAATATACTAACACGGCGTCACCATAAAACAAGGGGGCCAACGTAGACTGTGTCTTTGAAAAATGTCCTCATAAGCGACAGTCAAATCGTGCATCACATTCATGCGTATCTGTAGATTTGATATTGAACATTATCTTGAGATACCATGGGATTCATAATATAGATGTAGCAACAGTAATGCACTTGCTGTCACATTGCAGCACCGGACTACGGTTGACTGATACTATATTGGCTATAGTCTCATGCACAAACGAAAGACATCGTTTTGATGATAGCCTGAGACCAGCATGAATCCGACATAGCACCAGGCGACATGCAAACTGGACAGCGCCGTGGATGCCTCAATCATTCATCATGAATCTTTCGCAAGATAAAATATCTTTTTAAATGTAGCTTATTAAGCTTACTTACCGGTAAGTAATACAACTAAGCAACGACACGTTCTTCGAGTGTTAATTTAGGAGAGTAGACATCCTCTCGTCTAGGAGATCATTAGAGATCACTTCATTTGGGAGTTTAATCCACTCCAAATTGAGTGGAATCCACACGAAATTACTCTTTTTGAGCATGGATTTCCACTCCAAACCACAGTGATCTAATATAAGGACTAAAACAGTGAATGTTCATTCCTCTACTCTACTCGGGTTTCCTCTCTTAAATAACGAGTTGAAAGAAATATAAATCTCAGTTATACATTACCTTGATATGTGTTCATAATGTCCATCCTTTTATCTACCCGAAGACCATTGCAAGCAATATTTTTATTTTTATTTTTTTTAAATGTAGCAATCACCAAAACATGTTTTGCTCTTGATGTAAAGGGTTCTATGTTGTTGTACTGTATTCAAACTATGAGCTTCAAATATTGCAATTTTGAATATATTGTGAGTTGATAACAAGAGGCCAACAGGAAAGTAAACATCCGACGAGTCTTCAAATGTCAAGAGCCTACCAGAAAATGCTCATTCCAAACGGGAAAAAGCATTATGTAGTCACAGAAATATTCCCAAAGCCCTTCCACTACTATACTCTACCTGAATCTAACTCTCCACAGCTTTATCAGTTTCCTAAAGCCACAGCTCTACAGTTTGATTAGACCCCCCCCCCCTTCCAAAAAAAAAACAACGTCTGCTTGGAGGAGTCTTTCTTTTGGTCTTTAGACCCTCTCTTCCAAAGAATTCGCTGAAGCCAGACGTAATCTCAGCGGAATATATCCCCGATTTTCCGTCTACAATTACTTACTTATGAACACATTCTCTCTAATAACATCAACAATATTTGCCATGAATCAGACGCTTCATCATCTTCATTATTCATGATCTTGAAATGAAGATGCCAAATTTTCCGCAGAAACTGGAATTTACCGCTGAAAATGGGACTTACCGGTAAATGCTTTAAGAAACGAGCCCCAGGACCATCATCAATGTTGAGTATGAACAGGGATTGTGACCACTGTTTCAACTATAGAACTTACCGTGCATACAGGGCCTGGTCTTGTTTACCGACGTGAAGTCCAACTCGCTGTCGATCTCGTAACATGCCCCGTTCACGAGGATCACCTCGACCGTGTTCTTGAAGAACTCATTTGACCATTTATGTGCGCATGCCTGTGGATTACGTCACAATTGTTTTATGGCAGGCGGGAAAAGGGGAAAATGTGCAAAATACATGAAATCATAAAAACAAAGATCTAAAACAGGCAAACTAAAAATAACCAGGGGGAATGTAATTTAGGGCTTATCTTAAACCAACAAATGATTTTGTAAAATAAAGTCACAGCCTCTTGGCCACGTTCAAAATAATTTTCCTCAATGCATACTCAAGTCAAATCAACCACTATTATGGAAATGGTGTTCACAGAGGCTACTTAATATTACTGTGTGAAGTGTGACGTAAGTTTGAATGTACCACAAAAGAGAAATCGTGATCCAATTTACATTCATATTTCAACATACTATTTTATTTATCGAACTTCATTTTCAGATTCTACTCTATCATGAATATACTATAAAATTATTGCAGGCTAATAGTGATTAAGCAGACATGTTAGCATCGTAATCGAATGCTGTCATCGGTTTTGGAACAAATTGTAGTTAATTGACCCTACAATATACCCAACATCAAAATGTGCGTTAAACGTTAGGTTAGAGCGGTATAAACCAACTATCTATCATTGTTAGAGTGCTGTGAATTTTTTATTAGATTGTGAAAACATGATCATGTGTGTCAGATGTTTTGGTACGAACAAGAAGTGATTAGACATTTTATTAAACAATAATGGACAGAGGGAGATCAACATAATAATTATCGACATATAAATAGAATTACCAAACTACGTCATCAAAGAAACTGGATGACAAGTCGCATTTCAGAAGAGGAAGTATCATGTCTTATGTCTCTTGTTAAAACTAATTATGTTCCTTTTAATTAGGGAGGGGTGATATTTCTTTCCGGACACCTGGTAATTTTACAGATAAAATCAAACCTCAAATTATGCTTGGGGCGACTGTTTGACATGGGGAATTTAATGTGCCTTTTCAACAAGAACTGTCGATTAACAGACACAGTTTGCGAACTTTATCATTTATGTGTACATTAGAAGAGCAGTTCTTTTCGAACATGTATTATTCATATATTAATTTTTATACACTAGACAGTTTACCGTTGCAACACACGTACGAAAATATGTTACATGTTTGACAGTAAACGAGACGGAACAACTGTGCTATTAGCTTTTAGTTTTTGTGTTGGAAACGAAAGACAAGGCTTTGCCTAGAAAACAGGGGGGGGGAATACCGCCATGTAAGATTCCTGTAAATGAATCAACATCAAGTTACCTATCTCCATACTAGTAATATGCATAAATTGTTTTACGTTCTGTTTCATCCATTAATAGGGACTTTTAGATTTGCGTGAACTGATACGTGTGACGTCCATTCAAGGCAGTGCATTAAAAGGACGTCGATCGTAGCAATCCCCATTGTCTTCGTGCGAATCTAAAAGACCCTTGTATCTGTTGTGTCACCATTTTATGGTAGATTTTAATACGGATGTACTCCCAGGGAGCGGAGCAATCAAATCAAATGACAGGAGTAATACTAACTACAATTTAAATCGCTTAGAAACGTTGTATTAAGCACTATTTGGCAAATTGCGAGTGGTGTAGTTATTGGTTACCGTTTTTACTAAGTAAGTTTGATATAAGCTGTTAGCTTTACTGATGACATCTGATCATCATTGTTTGCAAACATGCATCGTCCTATTGGTAATTAATGCCAAGCGAATTGCAAAGATATTTATCACTATACAATATTTTCAGCAGGTTTATGTTGCTTTGTAATAAACATTTAGATGCATGCCAGATTGCGATTAGGTTATACTAATATGAATATCAGAGAAGTTCAGATAGAACGCTAGATTGAAGAAAACTATTTCATAATTTCATGAAATGTGTAACGTGATAATTTTATCGGCCAATCCAGTCATGTGTGAATACTGAATACCAATTCATGACGGATTTGAGATTAGACTTCAATAACTATAGTTATTAGACATGTCAATAAAGAAGGTTTCTACTTTTGTTTTCTATAAAACACTGTTGCCAACACGGTCGCAGAGACTTTCGATAAAGGGCAATTTCTAAACCTCTTGTAAATACTTTGCATAAATCATGTTCTGATAACGAGATACAATTGTTATATTTTTATGCGCATATTTTAATAGTGATGGAGAAGGTTACTCAAATTTTTCGAAAGTCTTTGTGATCATTGTTCCTGAGAAGAAAATTGTCCTAACTGTCTGGAATCTACCATTTCAGGAAAATCCCTTATAAACAAATTAAAAACAAACTTTAGAAAGTCCCCTACCGTTTCAAGTCGATTTTGGGAGGACTCATTAGATCCATGGTAGGAGGCATGGGAACGTCAAACGTACCGTCCAAATTTAACCCTTTCTATACCAAGGTGTGCAGTGCGAGGTTCCATGCAAAACATGTCAAAGGTAACATGCAAGACAAATTCAGATTATTGCCAAGAGGTGGGAATTCATATGTTATCAAAGCACTACTACAGGGTATTTTGAATTATCTGCTGTTGTTTTCCATGGCGACAAGTAATACACAGATACTGCATTAATTGGTGCAACTGAGACTTACGGGGAGCTCATTAAACAGATTTAATACAGAACTCATGTTCCTCATCATTGAAAAAAGAAAATAGTCGTATGAAATATACTTGGTTGATGCCCAAACATGCCAAAAGGCATCATTTTGTGATTAATGTGACAGATGCATGATTTGTATGGCTAGAGAATTTGCGCGCCATTTTTTTAAATCACTTTTATCTTGATACAAATCTATATTCAAGTACAAGAGGAGTCGATAAAAAATTCCAAATAGCATCACTGATCTAAAAGTGCATTTGATAACGCAGATTTCCACACCTCATCATCAGAATATCCGAATATTTTGAAGTTAGTGACACAATCCACAGACATTGAAACAATTAAAGGTGCTCTCTTTATAGAAAATCGGAGATCCACTCATTAAATAGTCATCTAACAATCACTTCGTTTTTGGAGTAGAAGTCCACAATAAACAGTGGAATTCATTCCCAAAAGATTGATTTCGCTCCACCACTTTAATATATTGCACTTTAATTTGAAATGGATTCAACTCCAGAACGAAGTGATTCCTAATATGACTCTTGAGAGTGGATTTCTACATCTCTGTATTAAGACAGTAACAACTCATTAGACCAGACATGCAGGACAAGAGTCGAGACACATGCATCGTTACATAATACTTATGAACATGACGGACAAAGAAAGAGGGCAAAATATACAGTTTCTTCAGGTAGATAAAGGAACATCCCTTCCCTGCTATAATGTAAAACTGTGTAGAACAGGTGTCACATGCATATTCACCTGTTCTACACATTTTTACATGATAATAGCAGTGAATGGATGTTCTTTTGTCTACTTCAGCAATTGTTGAGGGTAGAATGAGGAACTGTATATTTTGTCCTCTTTCTTTGTCCGTCATGTTCATAGTGTCGAGACACCTTGGACAACGACACCAAACGAACATTCAGGAAGATGTTGGGCATAGACATTAGACAGGACCAACCACCGTGCAAGACCAATCTTCGTGCAACACTCAGAACGATTTGTTGGGCAAGAGAACCACTTGCTCAATGCAGAAGGTGCACCACGATGCAGGAGGGATACCTGATTCACCAAAGCCGAATTTAGACGGTCCTATAAGGGCTTACTGTATCACTCTATAACTTCCAATTCATTTACCAGTACACTAAATTCAACACCCTCCCCCAAAATGTATGGGGTTCCCCAAGGATCGTACATAGGTACTCTCGTGTTCTTAATAGTTCATGATATCATAGCCTATGCAAAATGCCGTATCCGACAAGCTAAAGGAGCACGTGATCTTAGCGGCAAGTATTCTGATCTGTTTCGGTAAGTTAAGTCAACTGCCGAATATGACTTGGGGATAGATAACTCTTAACTTCTTTGACACTTCTTCCGACTGCTGCAAAATGTTAAAAAGGTGATATCTAATTCTGGGCATGTCCTATAGAGAGTGACATTAAATTCAAAACGAAATACAAGATTAGCGGCAAGCCCTTATATTGATTTTAACTTACCCATGCCTTAGGTTCACCCTAACCCAAGTCGCATATCAAATTATGAATTTCCGCATCTTGGAAGCATGCCTAGATCGGGAACAGGCAATATTTTAGACTTACCACTGAGGCAAGGGCGTTGCTTAGTGACCGAGTTATAGTTAAGTCCAGCCATCACAGTGTAGCAAACACCATTGGGAAGAATGGCATCGTTGTAGTAAGCGTTAGCCCATAGGTGCGCACAAGCCTACACGGTTGAAGATGGGGTGGCCGTGGTGTTGGGGGTGGTGATGATGATGATGATGGTGGTGATGTATGAGCGGGGTGATGGTACGACAGTTACCAACGTAACACGTTGATACACAGGGTACAAAGGAACACATTTAGGGTAGGGGAAAGAAGAGATTCGTAATTTGCAAGAGTGTATCTTTTTTTTCTTACATCTATTTGTTTATAAAGGATCTTTTTTACTTTCTTTCCTATTTTTAAAAACATCCATGCACAGCGCTGGTCAGAAAAGAATGTGTTCTTATTAGCTTTATATAGTAAAAAAGAAACATATTTAGGGTAGGGGGAAAGAAGAATTCATAATGCAAGATTGTCTCGTTTTACTTTCATTTGGTCTACACATGATCTTTTGTTCACCACCCCCCCCCCCCCCCTTTTGGACCTCCATGCACATTTCTTTCCTCGGAAAAGATTGTATTCTTGTACACGTTTGAAATACCTATCGTTAGGATGCCAATAAAGGAAGCAGTGTTAAACACTTAGCATTGATACAAATACAAGAATACAGTCATTAATGAGAATATAGCATTACATACAACATGAACAGGTGCAATTGTTAAATACCAATCGACATCTATTACAACAGCATGATAAACAAGCAATATATAATGGGTATATAGCATGCATGATATATAATATACACATCCACTGTAATGACATTTTACAATATTATGATGCAGAATATATTGTAAAGCGATGGATTGTTGTGAACACATGACACTACACAAATAATGTCTAGCAATAGAAGAAATGAACATATCGTGAGCATTCAAGATTGATGAAATAAATAATTCACAGTTTCACACAGAGGTTAATACATCTATAACACAATGTAATATTGGTAATTCAAACTGAACAACGATGAGCTTCGGGCTGAAATCATTAATAATAACAATTTGTTTTTAATAATCATATTCGACTGGTTTAAAATATGGGGCAGTTTTTGACACAACATTGGAATCAGTCAAACAATCATCAAAATGATATCTCCTTTGTCCTCAATCCTTCTCTTATTAATCCAAATTAAGCCAATCTTAACTGTGGAAAGGTATAATGATACAACACAAGATATTAATTGTATTTTAAAAAAATCTTAATCTTTGCATCTCAAATGTAAACGCTAAAGTTCAGTGAATTTAATTGATTTCAAGAATATGAATCGTATTAACCATTTCCATGTCAAAGAAAAAACAAATATATAAATAAAATTAAAAATGTTCGTCAAAATCGTCACTCAATATCAAATAACGTGTAAACTGCTGTTACAGATGAGTATTTAAGTATTTCAAACTATGCATTCTATATTTTTGTTTAAATCCAATTTCCAAATGATTTATGACCCGAGAGCTTTGATAAGAGGTATAGAGGTGGGAGGGGGTGGGGTGAGGTGGGGTGAAAGGATCGGGGCGAAATGATGGGGGTGGCTTACCGTGACTTTCCCCGTCCTTCCAATGTTCTTCTGTCTGGTGAGGGATACCCCTAACCATTGGTTATCTTTAGCATCTTTGAAATAAGGGCGGGCGTTTGGGGCACTTCGCTCATTTCCTGAGAAGAAAAAAAAAATACATGGAAGATTGAACACAAGAATGAATGACAGAGGTTCGTATTCTATCAATTCAGTTGAACCAGACCTGCGCTCTATGATCAGGTTTAACAAGAGAAAAACTTAGACCTAAGACAATTTTCTTTTGTTAAACCCGGTTTTGAACAAAAGCTCAACGCTGGGGTAATGTTGGGGTAAGTTTTAATTAGAATACGAGCAGAGAGCATAATAATAGAGTAATATTCATTATGTGGGAGAAAGAGGGCAATTTATAGAAATATGAGAATATTCAGGGATCGAGTGAGAAAACATACATGTGACGGAGATTTGAATTGATCTCTTAATCATGATGATTCTAAAACCTAGTAATACACAAGTGTTTCCATTTGATGATATTGACGACTTCTTTCCCGACCGTAAACTACATGTCCAGAAGTAATCACAAATTAATGTATTTTTGTTCAACCTTGTCCTAAAAATTATAATTATGCGCATAACGATACTAAATAACAGTATGCATGCTAAACAGGGAATATTTGTTCCCCCTTTCCTACATTATGTATATTGGCAGCCGAAAGTAGATTCGGGCATAGAGGGGGCACTGCCATCTTGGGTGGGGGATAGGGGGGGGGGGGGACCAGTTTTACTATAGATGGATTTCTGTGAATTTACACGGCCATCGAATGGAGGGGGGGGGATATAGGAGGGGATCATCATCTTATTTTGACAGTTCCCTCCCTTTCTCTCTTTTTCTTTCTTCTTCTTGTCCTGCCCTTCCACGATGGAAGGGGGGGGGTGGGGTGGGGGTGGGGAGGGGGCCTCGTGGGGCCCCGTGTCCCCTGTAACTACACCACTGTCTAAAGGTTGTCTGTTGCAGCTGGATTCGTGTGTAGTCAGTGACCTTTCGACCATTTAGAGAGAACGGACGTCGGCTATGTCAGGGGAAAGATGTTCGGAAGTCGGGCAGGAATCGCTCCTGTTCTCTCTAGAGGTTACACCACACTACTCCAGACATGACTCGTCTACTCTAAACAGACTGATATGACAATGGGGCTGGTGCAAAAAGTATGTACTGCTGCAGCACAAGAGGTGTAACATTTAGAACACGATCTCCTTCAAAATAAATAGATAATGGGTAACACCGCGATACTCCACGAATGACTCGTCTACTCTAAACAGACTGATATGACAATGGGGCTAAGTGCGTCATAATTCAAAAAGTAGGTTCTGTCGCAGCCTGTGTAACATTTTGAACACGATCTTCTTTAAAATAAATAAATTATAGGCTGATATAGTATTGGGTATCACCATGATATTCTAGACATGACTTGTCTACTCTAAACAGACTGATATGACGAAAGGGGTTGGTGCAAAAAGTAGGTAGGCCTATACTGTTGCAGCGCAAGAGGTGTAACATTTAAAACACGACCTCCTTCAAGAGAAATAGAATAGAGGCTGGTGTGTTAATGGGTAACACCGCGATACTCCACGAATGACTCGTCTACTCTAAACAGACTGATATGACAATGGGGATAAGTGCGTCATAATTAAAAACTGAAAAGTAGGTTCTGTTGCAGCCTGTTAGCACAAGAAGTGTAACATTTTTAACACGGTCTCCTTCAAAATAAATGAATTAGAGGCTGATATAGTAATGGGTATCATCACGATACTCTAGACATGACTTCCCTACTCTAAACAGACTGATATGATAATGGGGATAAGTGCGTCATAATTCAAAAAGTAGGTTCTGTTGCATCCGAAAAGTGTAAAATTTAGAACACGATCTCCTTCAAAAGAAATAAATTATAGGTTGATATGGTAATTGGTAACACCATGATATTCTACAAACGACTTTTCTATATATTCTAAATAGACTATATATTCTAAATAGACTATATATTCTAAATAGACTATATATTCTAAATAGACTATATATTCTAAATAGACTATATATTCTAAATAGACTGACAATGGATCTAAGACTAAGAGCGTCATAATGCAAAAAAAGTAGATGTCTTCTCTTACGCAGGCTGTTGGCCAGTTGTAACTGTAACGCTTCGAACACGATTTCCACAATTTGTTGTGGTAATTGAAGTTTGAAGTTTATTAACAACAACAAAATGTAGGCCTATGTACATCATAAAACAAAGTATGCAAGGCAAAACAATAAAATACAAACCGTACATAATGTACATAATGTACAAAAAAAGGAATTACTGCAAAAGCTTAATTAATGCTTACATAAAACACATTTATATAAAAGTTCAAGTTGTTGCTAAAAGAAAACTAAAAGTTAGCACAAGTGCTAGCCGAGATCGGCTTTCTCTGTTCACTATAATCGATAGTGTATCTCTTCATTACTAGCATTAAAACTTTACGACACACACTGATTTATTTCCAAGGGTTTACTCTATGACACTCAAGTCATGACCTATCTGGTGGCCTCAATAGACAGGTAAGACTACACTGTCTTCCTAAGTTTCTTATCTCTGTCATTTAACTTGACCTAATCCAATTTGTTCAAGAAAAGTGACCTGTCTACAATGGCCACTTTTGCCAGCTTTTGTCTGGTGGCCTTAATTAATAGACAAGTTCCACTGTGTAACCTATCAATAGTGGCCACTTTTTTCTGTTTCAATTTTTTTATACTAAAGTTGCTTACCTCTGTCATCTAGTTTGACCTCGACACATATTGGCCTTTGACCTTGTATCATTGGAATGTTGCACTTGAAGATAGCCCCTGGTCTCTGTATGGAAGGCTGGTATTGAGAATTGGACTTGGGCGCACCTACCAGGACCCTGGAAAAATCAAAGAAAGTATGAGATCATGAATGTTTAGCTGGAGATGAAAACATTCAACGTTTTTTTAGTAAAATGAAACACAAAGTGAAAATTAGCACGCAAGCATTATAAGATACACAAATCAATTCAGTTCAATCTAGTCAGGGATAATAGACTGTAGCTGCATGGTTTGATCTTATAATGGCACAGTCACACGGCCACTTACGGTAGCTGCGGATGCTTACGGATAAAAGTCCGTAAGCATCCGCAAGGATCCGTATCATCCGTAAGCATCCGTATCCATCCGTAATTCAATCCGCAGGATCCGCAGACATACGCAGATCCGCAGCGGAATTTTGAAAATCTCAAAATTTTGCTGCGGATGAAATATACGTAAGCATCCGCAGAATATACGTTATCCATACGTAAAATACGTTATCCAAATATACGCAGGCATCCGCAGGTCCTCACGAGACCTATGGTTCTGTTAGCATTCACAATGGGGGTAGTGTGATACATCCAGTTGAGGAGACAATGAACGATGGGGGTGGGGTAGGGGAGCACCAATGTTACTCAGAAAATGAAATGAAAGTTTACAAGGCTAATAAAATTGCTGGTGCAGGGAAAATGTAAAGACTGTTTCTGTTACTGGTCCAGTTTAAGCAAGCAGAAATATACTTCGAATCTACCCACCCTTTCTTTTCGAAGGCAGGTCATTGACCTCTATACCTTCCTCGGTTAATCATTTTCTGGTTTTACGAGCAGGATCTTGAAATCTTTCATCATTTACGTTGTAGGAACTTCTCTTATGGCTTGCCCCCATTCTACTGCGTTTTTATTCCCTTAAAAATAAAACACGTTCGCACATCCACCTTATACCCCAGTAACATCAACGCGACACAGACCAAGCAGGCCAACAATAAACCAAAGAAAAACGACAACACTACAGTACATAAAAAAGTTAAGAATCGGTCGGTTTGGAGGCATCTTTATGTTGGCGGAGTGAGCGATGTTTACTCTCATAATGTACAGGATTGAAAATTCACTTTTTTCTGGGAGTCACATTTGACTAAAAACTAGTTGGAATCCACTCTCATAAGAGTACTTCAATCACTAATTTGAAATGGATTCCACCGATTTAGAGTAGATGCAAATCTAAGGAAAGGAACGCTACTATGGATTGTCACCCCTCTGCCCTTGATTAGGGGGCGGTGTAAAAGGGGGCAACGGCATCTTCTTTTTGAGTTCCTTTTCCTCTCTCCCTATTTTTCTCTCCATCTTTACTTATTTTCGCCATTCGATAGGGGGCACGTTTTCACAATTGGTGCTTGCCATTCCAAGAAATTACATTTTACCTTCGCTTTACGAGAGTTCCAGATCTTACTTCCCAGGTTGTTGCCCTAAATGTACAACTTCTTTATCCACCCAAACCCTGGTCTGCAGGCACATTATCTAATTTGACACTTTTACCACAATTCCTAAAGCCTTAAGCAGAGCTCTGGCAGTCTGCCTTGTCTGCATGGCCATTTAGTATAGTCACAACATGGAGATGAGCAGACACAACAACTGACTAGTTTTTGCCTGCCAACTACTCAAACCCAGTTACGTACCCTGCCCCCCGCCCCCCGCCCCCTGCCCCGCCCACCCCCCCCCCCCTCAAAGTTGATACAGATACCAGGGGTGCAGGAACGTCAGGTGCGATCGTAACTAGGTCGGAAATTGACGACTTAAAAGAATGCAGATGTTGAGACGTTTCTCGGAGGGGCACTCAAGTTGTTTGGGGCATCTTTATCGAGTTCATATGGGTAAACATGTTTAGTGAACGCGACAGACGTCTGCTCCGAATGCCAAGATTACAGATTGCAGACTTGCTAGCGTTTTGCTCAACCCCATTTATATTTAAATATTGTATATCCCTGAGCCATCTACACACAGGTTCAATTCATGTTTGGTTGCAGTACGACCAAGTGCAGTAAGATGTAAATAAAACCACCTGACAAAAGCACTGTCTGTAACATATTGGCAAAATTATACTAGCTGTTTTCCATGATGAGTTATCATATCTTTATTTCCCGATAGGAATATACCCGTATGAATATAACAACCTATTTGATTAGATAGGCCCTTATATTAGCTGCATCGAATTCATTACAACATAGTGACAATCAAAAGTGAATGCCATTGCCCAGAACTCGATCTTCTCCAGACTACAATAATGCTCCAAACCACTTTACAGCATTTTCAATCTGGATGTTTCATTGTAGTATAAGCAGGGAGGTGAGATGCCCTGGTATAAGCATGGTAGTGTGGTGACACCCTGGCTATACGAAACTGTCACAGGAACGGATGTGATGACACCAACGAATACTCATCATCCAAATAATGTAACTACTCATAAAGATCATTATCGTACATAGCCAACAACAGCGGCGTAGTGAGGGGCGATCCATTTGGGGGGGGGCACCAGTCTTACTCAGAAAGTAAAATGCACATTTACAAGGCTACAATTTAAGGGGAGGGTGCGAGATGTGGCCCCGACGTCTTATTTTATATTCCTTCCCCTTCCATTAATATCTCCTCACGCATTTTCTTTCTAAATATATATAATGTTCACCACTCGAGACGGGGAGGGGGGGGGGGCACGTGCCCACTCCCCCTGTAGCTACGCCGCTGGTTAATAGCATCCACAATCCATGAGGAATACATTTTATTCGGCTGTCGACGGTGATAAATGGTGATCAAATTGCATTTTGCAAATCCAGGCGGAAATGAGTAACCCGACTCGGGTCATTTGGGGTAAAACAATAGATCACCGCAGACATCAAACGCATGTGATTGTTAGTTGACCTGCAACGTCAGGGATAGGATGTCGAACCGGTCTTTCGGGCGGGGGGGGGGGGGGGTTGCCGGGTGCGACAAGGGTACAAAGTGCCCTTTGAAAGTGCCCCCTGAAAGCATAGGACCAAAGCCGGTGGATGGAGAGTGCCCCTCCCCTTAAAATGAAAGGCGTACGATTGTAACGGTACATGCAAGTTATGATTATATTGGGTAGAATTTTAAAGGGTCATCGTTTGTGTTAGTATTGTTGTTGTTGCTGTTGGGGTATACTTGTACAGTACAAGGTTCCTCTGTTTAATGAATTAGAACATGAATGTGTGCACAGCGATCCCTTGAAATGAGTAGTTATAGTTTACACATGCTTAAAAGGCCATCAATATATTGAGTTTCTATATTAATAGTTCGAATCTCGAATTAATCATTTTAATATTTATAATAACAATGACAATAATAGCACTTATCATAAAAAATACTACTACAAATAATAATGATCATTATATTCTTAATAATCATAAGCTAATAAAACAATACACATTACAAAGTGTGAAGTGCTTTCATTCATTCGACTTCATTTTGTTGTGTTGCCATCTCCCCACATCTGCACATGGAATCACGCTTCTTTGAATATTACTAGTAATCCTTCTCAACGAGAAAATCATAATCACTCAAATAAACAGATTTCCTTTCAAACTTATCGCAGGAAGCAAGAGGATTTATTACATTCAACGCTAGATGGTGGAGATTACTTGAATTTATCACTTCTACTCAACGTATGTATGTAGTCAACATACGTATACGAACCAACTAGTAAAATCCATAACAGAACTGAACAATCATGTTGATTGTTTTTCACGTTTACATTGTCCATTTTTAGTCCAACGCACTTCAACATAATGATAAATTTAACACTTGTACAAAACATGCCGAGACGACAGTTACATGTATCACTAGGTCAATTTTTCTTTCCTGCAAAGTGATCAAATTCCTAGTTTAAATATATGAAACAAATAGAACACTTAACCATAACCCTAAACCTCATCTTACAAAAGCTAAAAACATAGGCCCTAATCCTACGTCATCAATGAAAGGGTGAGGTAAACTAAAGCCCGATATAAAATGTCGGATCATCAATTCAAAGTTAACTTTATTGTTTAGCATAAATGTACAGATGTACTGCAAGTCGATTTTCCTATACAGAAACATCCTCTTGAAAAATGATATACCATGATAACAAAATGAAAGAAAAGGGGGAAACGGTGATGAAGTAGAAGATAAGAAGAACACACAGCCTCACAGGCACTTAACACTTCAAGTCAAGTCCTTGATAAACACGTAAAGGATAATAAAGAATTGTACACTGTATCATCATGGACACAAGTTGCACTACTTGGAAATATTTGTTTTGTTATAATCCATTTGACGACAGCGAGTAACATTGTGTTTAAAATCCCAACTATCAATTACACCTGTACATACACCCCACCCCAGTAAAGCAAAAACAAAACAAAACAAAGCAGCACAAACAAAATCAACAGAACATTCCCGAAATGAAAAGAAATATTTATAATGTATCTTCAACAAGTTATAGCAATGCCTGTCAAAAATGCGAAGCTTAAAAACCACAAAACTAAAAAAACCTGCTCTAAATCATACTGCGTTTCGTCGGCTGCCTGCAAGAAGACCTTAAGAGCAATGCATTGTCACTGACAGTAACGGCTTCTTTACAGGCAGCGGACGATTTTACTCATCGAGGTCAGAGGTCAGAGGTCAAAGGTCAACAACTTGTTATATTGGCATATCGCTTGACACCCTTGTGATGGGGTATGAAATAGGGCAGTGCTCGATGTATCCTAATTCACGATCCTCTAGTGGTCAATATTTGGAAACGTTTAGGCGTTGGAGGTGCATTTATCTTTTATGAATGCAAAATATAAAAAACAGATGATTTCTAAGTTTAACATGTTAAAACACGATGTGAACCTGCATTCCCAGGTAAATATGAAATGGTACACTCTAAAAACTGAAATGTTAAATCACTATTTAAAAGGGCCGAGGAGCAACCACTTTTTCTAAATGGTATTCAAACTTTTAACATGCTGGATCCAACGCTATAAAGGTTGAATCTAGCAGGTTAAAAGAAACAATCTGACAATTTGAAAGAGTGGTCACTCCTTGGCGCT